CACATGTCTTAGGATCAACTAGTCGATCCTGCAAGTAACCCTTAGTTTATAGGCTTTGGGAAGACTAGGTGTTGTTTACCTTTTTCCACAGTAAACACGTACCTGACCAGAATGGATCGTCAAAGTCTATGAGCTGTGAGTTGAGCAACAATTGAAAGCGAGTTGATGGGGGGTACCTGCAAGACACTCTGATGCCAAAGTAAGGTTCAGAGCAGTGCGAGCAAGTATGAGAGTGAGTATGAGAGAATGAATAATTGACCCTCTCAAGAGAGAGGATATTTATAGCCCCCAGCGCTGGGCCAAGGTCCCCATCGTTGGGCTTGGAAAACAGGTCCAAAATGGAGATTATCCGGTTCTACGTGCGTAGTGGGGCCAGCACGTGGTCCCCGATCTGGATGGACTCCCCCGAATAATCAGGAGGATATGGATGCAGTATTTTCGAAACCAAGAGGACTCCGTGATATTCAGGGGTGTGGTGAGTCAATCCTACGAGGAGGATGTTCGCGATGTCCTTATGTCGTCATGGGCCCTCCCCGCTAGCTGTGAGATCGTCTAGGAGGGCTTATCTTGGTCGACAAGAAGAGTGAAGGATGCTCACGAGGTCCTCCTGATCAGCGACGAGCCTCCTTGCGGTTCCTGGACTTATCCCTGCACGGCAAAGCCGTGTTTTCTCGAAGAGTAAGGTTGCTGCCCAACATAGTTAAGGGCAGGCTCGGTCAACAGACCTCTTCGAACAATATAGTTGGATTAGGCCTCGTATGAAGTTGGACCAAGTGCAGACTCAGTCCAGAACAGAAACAATATTAATCTACTTAATATTGGGGCAACCCGGTGATTTTATTAAAGAAAAACCTTTAATGCAAAAAAAAAAAATATAAGAAATAAATAATTTATAAAAAATAATGTAATTGAAAATTTCTTATTAGAGTAAAATTAGTGATTATTTTACAACGGTTGCATATAAAATTTCAAAATCATCCTTAGATATTATCAAATCAACCTTTTTCCCAACTTACAATTTTCATACTTAAAGAAAAGCATCATTATCAAAGGTGTTTTTATAGTAAAGTATTTAGTTTTTTACAAATATAAATAAATTGAATATTTATTCAATGAATTTAATTATAAAGAATAAGTATAGAGAATAAAAGATAATTGGACGAGATGAAAGAGTCTCTTCCCTCTTAATTAGGTTTTGAATTTAACTGTGTTTTGAAAATCAATATATTTATATATTATTTATTTTATATGTTATTAGTTTCCTACCAATAGAAATAATTTTTTAGAGAGTTCAAAAACTTATGAATAATAATATTGTATCTCTTAGAATTATAGATATAATTTTTAAGAGAATTAAATTTATAATTAAAAAAAAAACAGCGACGTAATTCTTATCATTTGGTTGCCTTTTATTTTTATATTGACTTAATAGTCAGAATGATACAATTAATTATTTTTCCCATAGACATGCAACACTATTAGAAATTTGTTAAAGAGAGTTTGCCATCTGATCCATTAAGGATCTTACCATTTATTTAGATAAACAATTTCTTATTGAAATACAAAACATAAGCTTTGCTGGTACAATAATCTTAAACAAGAAGATGAATGATGAAATTGAATTGATAGTGACATGATATCAATGTGAGCATCATTTCATTAAAAATTATTTTTGAATTTATAGAAAATAAAAATCTTTAAAAAAATTAAATTAAAATAACTAAATTTTCAGATTTTAAAATGAAGGGACGAAAATCCAAAAGACTTTAAATTAAATTATTTATAAAAAAAATTAAAAGTTTCTTTAAATTTTTTATAACAGTAACAAGTAGCATTATTAAATTCATTTTAAAAAGCTAAAATGAGAAAATTTAATATAAACAACTTCATTCAACAAATCTCTTTTTTTTTTTCAGCTTTCTTTTTACATATAAGTAATATTAATAATTACACTTATTTCAAATTTTTGATATTGTTGTTTTAATGTAATGGTTATAAATGACCACTAAATAACTCACATAATTCTTACTACTAATAATTAGGGATGTGCAAAAAAACTGGTTTACACGAACTAATTTTAAAAATTCAGTGCATCAATTTTTATAATTCAATTTGTGTTGGATGTGAACCGCTCCAGATCTATTTTGACATCAAAACAAAAATCTGGTTTCCATTTTTCATAACGAGTTGTCATACATAAAACCAAATGTATATCATATTATTATTAATGAATAAGGTAATATTAAGGCGCAGGAAATTCAAATTCGTGTAAACCAATTTATATAATATTCAAATTGAAAATGGAAAACCAGTTTATATATATTTTATTTTATTTATTATTAATTAGTTAATTAGAGTGGTGATTAATTAAGGGAAGAAGAACTCATTAAGTTAATTATGATGAACGATTGTTAATCTGTGTTTTTTTGTTTAACTGTTATGGTGTAGCAATTGTTTTGATGCAGATTTTGTCTTGATTTTAGGATGTTTTGTTTTGCTTTTTTTGGATTCTAGTTTTAGTGTTCTGGTGCAACTTTATCATGGATTAAAGTGTAATGTTTTTACTCTTAAATTGAATTTTACTTTTTAGCTTTTCAAAAAAATTGTGATAAACGATTTGTGCTGATGTTTGAATATAATAGTATGAAAATGACACATGCCTTTGCATCTTGTTCTCTTCATTAACCTAGATTTTTTTCGTCTCTTCAAATTAAGAAAGATACAATTTTCTTATAAATCAATTTTGATTGAAAATCGTTTAAACCGGCTTTGAACCGAATTGAAACCATTTTATAATTTTAAATTGGTTACTATAAAAAATAGTTTGATTTTAAAATTAGAACCATTAAAATAGATTGGTTCTTAAAATTTGGTAACCATGCACACCCCTACCAATAATCTCCTTCAATTTTTGATAAATCATTTTCATTTTATCAAATCATAATGTTACTTTCTTCTCCTAAAATAAAATGTTTCTCATATATTTTCTAACATTCTTCTCCTAAAAAATAGTTTTTTCTTATTTTTAAATAAATTTTATTTTTAATTTATTTAAAACTAAATCATAATCGACTCACTAAATTAAATAATAAAATTGTTTCATTTTAAAATAGAATACGAAATAATAGTCAAAATTTGTATGAAAAAATAAATAATGAACAATGAGCATAAAATAAAGCAATTGTAAATAAAAATAAATTAAAATATATATAAAAGGATATTTTGTTAAAATTATTTAAAAATGAGAAAAAAATTATCAATTTTGTTATTCACTTTTATATATAGTTCATTTATTCTAGTTTTTTTAATATAATTTTGTACACTATTTAAAAACATATTAATTTTATAGTGTATTTTAAGTTAATATAGTATAATTTTATTAAATAAAAATAGAAAAATTATTTTAAAATGGCAAATAACTTTTTTATCATTATTTATTACTAAAATAACATATTTTTTAAGAAATATTAATAAGAATAAGTGAAAAGAATATATTTTTACTTTATTAAAAAATAGTGAATTTTGTTTAAAATTGAGAGTAAGCATTTTTTTTACTAAAAATCACATTTGTTATTAAGAAATGAGATTTTTTAGCAACAATTTAAACTCTTATTAATTAACATTTCTATTTTTTATTAGTAGTAAAAAATTATATCTTTATTTTTTTTAAAATTTTTTTTTAGTAATAACTTTTTTTTTCTTTAAGTTATTATTTTTGTTTTGGTAATATTTCTTTATGTGTTTTTAAGTTATTATTTTTGTTTTGGTAATATTTATTTTTCATTTTTTCTTTAACTTTTCATTTTATTTTCTATATCTTTCTAACAAAATAAATTTGTAATCACAAAATTCTAATATTAAATAAGCTTTATAATGTCAAGAAAAGTGTGACTTTCATAATCATAATGTCATATAATATAATAAACCGAAAATATATCAAATCTTCATCTTATGATAAGTCATAATGCCAAAAGAAGTTGCAAGATCCATGGTGATAATGTCATATAATAAAGAGGAAAGTTTATAATTTAATCAATTCTTAACAAAGTGTAGAGGAAAGTTTATAATTTAATCAATTCTTAACAAAGTGTAATTATTGCTTCTTGAAGTTCTATTGTCTTCAAATCGGTAATTAGACTCAAAAGCGAGGTTATTTGCGGTTTGGTTTGAATCAATTATAAGGTTAAAAGTCATTCGATTTAAAGATAAATTTATTTACAATTTGATTCGATTTTAAAAATTTAATTAAAAAAATTCGATCCAATTCAATTTTATATGATTTATTTTAAATCGATTTTTAGATATCTAAATTACAAATTATAATTTTTATTAATATTATAAAAATACTAACAAATAATAGATTTGATATAATATATACTATATTAAAAATTGATATTACAAAATAAGAATAATTGATTATAGTTGAAACAAATGAAATAACAAAAATAAATAGATTTAATTAAACTAAGAAATGATATTAAAAACATAAGTATCATCCAATAATAAATTAATTTAAAATATCATATTAATAATAAATAAATAAATATAAAATATATATTTGTAATTTGATTCATTTTGGATCAGTGTTGAAAAATCAATTTGAAATCCAATCTGAACCGTGCGGTTTTTACAAAATAACATCAAAACACATTCAATAATATTTAATTTTTTGCAGTTTTCAGTTTTTTTTATCGATTTATGATTTTTTATTTAGATCAGTTTGAATTTGAAAACCCCCTACTCAGAAGAACGTCAATCATCTCCGGATAATTCTAAGCATGATCCTTGAAAAATATATTAAAATAATATACTCATTAAAATAATACTAATTTTCTTTAACTATTTGAGTATGATTTACATATATATAAATTCAGTAAGATTAGATACATAAAAAACAATATGCATATCTCGTCCTAGAATTTTTCCTTTGTATTAAGAGTTTAATTTCCTCTTTTCTTTATTTTTTATATTAATGAATAGGGCTTAAGCCCAAGAAAAAACTAAGAAGGCACCTCATTAGCAGAGGTCACGCCTAATCTCTCAACTAAAACATACTCCTGCAAAAAATTAGGAATATCACTATAAATACAAGATACTTAAGCGAACAAGCAGCATTTGCAAGAACATCAGCACAAACATTTGTCTCTCTATACGCATTCGAGACTTTAAAGCTCTCAAAGTCTTCCATAAGCTCATGGTTTCTTCTGATCAGAGTCAAACCATTCAAATAATTGGATCTCCCCTTCTCCAAAGTCTTTACACCTAACATTGAATCTACATTAAGCTCCTCCTAAGAGTTTAATCCCTTCAAGAACTCTCCATAATTCTGCCATGAAAGCACTGCAATTCATTAAATACTTGGAGAAGCCACCCAGTCAATTACTCATTGCATCCCAAATAATTCCACCACACCCAACTTGAAGATTATTTTTGCTAGCCCCGTATATATTAATCTTAACCATGTCATTTGAGGGTAGATGCCACCCATCAATATAGATATCCTTCTCCCTCTCCATCCACTTATTGTTAAATCTCTTTGAAATCTCATACCTGAGATTACTCTGCAAAATGTAGTGTATAGGATCAACAAGCCAGATATAGGAAGTATCACGTTCTTCCTTGTCCTGCCAACTCCATAAAGCATGACAAGCTTCACTACGCCAAAAATAAGTTTTAGCAGCACACATACGAAAGCGCTTTTAGGAAAAAGCGCTGTTGTAGGTTTTAAAAAAAATTCGCTTAAAAAAAGCGCTTTCAAAGGGTGCCTTAAGAAAGCGCTTTTCAAAAGCGCTGCTAAAGGTCACCCTTAGAAAGCACTTTTTGAGAAGCGCTGCTAAAGGGTGCCTTTCAGAGGGTATCTTAAGAAAGCGCTTTTCAAAAGCGCTGCTAAAGGCTAGCCTTAGAAAGCGCTTTTACAAAGCGCTGCTAAAGCTGGCCTTTAGAAAGCGCTTTTAAAAGCGCTGCTATAGGATATGCTACGAAAGCGCTTTTACATTAAAAACCGCTGTTATAGGTGATCTTTAGAAAGTGCTTTTAAAAGCGCTTTCGTAGGTAGTTTTATAATAAAAATCAAAAATTCGTATCATCACTTTTCTATTGTTCTTCACGAAATCATCAAAGCCCTAAACTAGAGCTCTTCCGCCGTTAGCATCTACGAGGAGATTTTCGTCACGATCACCACTTGCCACTTTTCTATTCGTCATCAGGACCTCTGCCTCCGTCTTCTTGTTCAGGACCACCGGGGCAGTTTCAGGACTTCTTCATCAGGACCTCCGCCTCCGTTCATCAGTACTCTTTCATCAGAACAACGACCACCACTTGCCACAGGAGAAACGCAAGGTGAAATCACAAAGTTTGCTGCATCAGAAATCACAACAATATACAACACAAAGTTACACAACTCAGCTCTAGGTATGTCAATTTCTAGTATAGTTTTGTATGAATAAATTATTCTATGCTTACTTTGATTCTAATTTCTAGAATAGTTTTGTATGAATAAAGATGTGACTATCTTCTAATAATTCTTTTAGTTAATTCGATATAGGAATTTTGTGTAGCATTACTTTTTTCTATAGTGGTAGGGGAATGCATATGTGTTGGAGTTTGCAGGTCTGATGGTCAGAGTCTCTAGTTTATGCAGATTCTTTCACATTCCATATTAACTATATTATCGCAGATACAGTGTTTGTTGTGGTTGGGTTTTGATTGGACCATAATTGTGGTTTTGCCTTGTTGTTTGTCTACAACATATTGATAGTAAATACCATTCATTTCCTGCTCCATAGTTTACTCTATAGTTTAGTTTTGTAGAGTGTGTGTACGATTTTTTCTCTCATACAACACAATGTAAATGTCATCTCTAAGTTTTCACATATAACAGACATATGAGTTAAATATGTACTATATGCACTATTGTAAACCAAAATATTTAGCCTCGCTATATATGTTTAGAAGTCAAAAGACTTTACGAGAATGAAGGAAGCATCCATGCAAATTTACATTTCCCCTATTTTCATCATTACTTGTAGCATACATTCCATTGATAGTACAACTGAACTGCAAAATTTTATCTTTTTTGAGTTTGAGTACACACATAATTTATGATTGATTTTGAGCAATGATAGTTTCTTGTTTATAGTTTCTTGTGTTATACTTGTGTACTAAAGTAGTTGATAGAATAAAATGAATTTAGTGAAAAGTATTGAGTATTGGTTTTGTTATATGGTTGTGCAAGAGCAAGTGCAAGTTTTGAGTATTGGTTTTGTTTTCTAATTTATCATTTAGCTTAGATTGACTCAGAAACCGTAAACCATGGATAAGACATGGATGTATTCCAATCGATTGTCGAAAGAGTACGAGAACGGGGTATCGAAATTCGTTAAGTTTACTATTGCGCACACCGAAGACCCCAGTCGAATGACATGTCCTTGTTTGTGTTGTTGTTATGGGAATCAGGTTGACGTGATTCAGTTGGCATCGCATTTAATACGGTATGGAATTGATAGAAGTTATACATGTTGGAATATGCATGGTGAGAAAAGTGACGGGAATGATGAATCGGGGGATAATAGGACCTATGCTTCAAACGACAATGGCACAGATACATACAATTATGATCGAGTTAAAGAGATTGCAGAAGCGCTTGAAGAAGATCTTAATGATTGTCCCAAAATGTTCGAGAGGTTGGTAAGTGATGCAGAGAAACCGTTGTATAATGGTTGTACAAAATTCACAAGATTGTCTGCGGTATCAAAGTTGTACAACTTAAAGGCAGGCAATGGATGGTCGGATAAAAGTTTCAGAGTTATTAGCCCTTATGAAAGATATGCTACCAGAGGATAATGTTCTCCCCAATCGAACGTATGAGGCCAAAAAGATGTTGTACTCTATTGGCATGAGCTATGACAAGATACATGCCTGTCCAAAAGATTGTGTTTTGTTTCAAAACGAGTATGCATCGTTAAATGAGTGTCCTAAATGCGGTGCCCCTCGATATAAGAAAAAGTTGTCTCCGGCAAAAGTCTTATGGTATTTTCCTATAATTCAGAGATTTAGACGGATGTATCGTAGTGAAACCGATTCAAGACACTTAACTTGGCATGCAAATGAAAGAATTGTTGATGGAAAGTTTCGACATCCGGCAGATTCACCACAGTGGATGAAAATTGATAATGATTATCCTGAATTTGGAAAAGAAGCAAGAAACCTTCGCTTGGCATTGTCTACTGATGGAATGAACCCACACGGTATTTAAAGTATCTCGCATAGCACATGGCCTGTGATTATTATGATTTATAACCTACCTCCGTGGCTATGTATGAAGCGTAAGTACATGATGTTATCTATGTTAATTTCTGGGTCTAAACAACCAAGAAATGACATAGACATATATTTGGAACCTTTAATCGAAGATTTGAAGATTTTGTGGGAGAACGGTGTGGAGGTTTATGATGGGTATAGGAAAGAAAGTTTCAACTTGAGGGCGATGTTGTTTGGAACAATTAACGATTTTCCAGCGTACGGAAATCTATCCGGGTATAGCATTAAAGGTGAAAAATCGTGTCCTATCTGTGAAGATGGAACCGATACGATGCGATTGAAACTTTGTCAAAAGAATGTCTTTCCCGGTCATCGTAGATTCTTAAATTCTAAACATCAATATTGTGGATGGAGAAAAGCGTTCAACGGAGATACCGAACAACGTAGAGCTCCGCCTGGATTGACAGGTGATCAATTATTTGAAAAAGTGAAAGATGTGAGTATTCAGTTTGGAAAGCCTTTTGCATATAAAGTTGTTACAGGTGGGTGGAAGAAGAGGTCGATTTTTTTTGAATTGTCATATTGGAAATCTTTGTACGTAAGACATTTTCTTGATGTTATGCATATTGAAAAAAATGTATTTGACAGTGTTATTGGTACGTTACTCAATATAAAAGGGAAGTCTAAGGATGGTCTTAAAGCAAGGGAGGACATGGTAGAGATGGGAATAAGAACTGAATTGGGACCCGCGAAAAAAGGAAGACGAACATATCTACCACCTGCTGTTTACACTCTATCCAGAAAGGAGAAAAAAATATTGTGTAAGTTCCTAAGTGAGGTTAAAGTTCCAGAAGGCTACTCATCAGATATTATAAGACTTGTGTCTATGCAAGACCTCAAGTTAAAGAGTTTAAAGACGCATGATTGCCATGTTATAATGGAACATTTTCTACCGATAGGTATACGTTCTATTCTTCCAGAAAAAGTAAGAAGCGCAATAACTAAATTGTGTTTTTTCTTCAAGTCAATTTGCAGCAAGGTGATCGATCCTGAGATCTTACCAACATTGCAAAAAGAAATAGTTGTTACTTTGTGTGATCTTGAAATGTATTTCCCTCCCTCGTTTTTTGACATAATGGTTCATCTTGTCGTTCATCTTGTCAAAGAGACACAACTGTGCGGACCAGCTTATATGAGATGGATGTACCCTACTGAACGTTATATGAAAATATTAAAAGGGTATGTGAAAAACTGAAGTCGACCAGAGGGTTGTATTGCTGAACGATATATTATTGAAGAAGCGGTTGAGTTTTGTACTGAATATTTGTCAAATGTCCAATCAATTGGACTCCCCAAATCTCATGTTGTTGAAAAAAAAGAAGGTAAGAAGCTAATTGGAAATAAAGTTGTGACAATATCAATGGTTGAACGGGATCAAGTGCATTTGTATGTTCTGCATAATGAGCTTGAAGTTGAGTCGTATGTTGAAATTCACAAGGGTGTTCTTCGAGGTTTAAATCCGAATAGAAATGAGAATTGGATTATACGAGAGCACAATCAAAGTTTCATACCATGGTTTAAGGAACATATTTATTCAAAGTATCGTTCAGATCATGCTTCAGTAACAGAAAGATTGAGATGTTTAGCATACGGTCCAAGTTTAGTTGTGTTTTCTTATAGCGCATATGCAATTAATGGATACACATTTTATACCAAAGAACAGGATGACAAAAGTACTATGCAAAATAGTGGTGTCACCTTGATCACTGAAGTAATGCATATATCAAGTGTGAAGGACTTGAACCCAAAATTTGCAAATCTGTCATATTTTGGGGTTATCGAGCGCATTTGGATGTTTGATTACGAGAAGTTTCAGATTCCTATATTTGGTTGCAAGTGGGTTGAAAATAATAATGGCATACGAATGGATAAGTCAGGTTTTTTTCAAGTGGATCTTAATAGGGTGGGGTACAAAGATGAGCCTTTCATTCTAGCCTCTCAAGCTAAACAAGTGTTCTATGTCAATGATCCGACAAGTACGAAATGGTCTATAGTGCTATTATCTAACAAAGTAATTGATGAAAGCATTGTAGATCAAAGTGATATTAGTGTTGACATTGAATCTTTAACCATAACTGATCAAAATGATAATGAATCATGTATTAGAAACGATCATAATGAGGGTATTTGGATCAATCCAACTGTCCGCGTTGTTAAGAGACGAGTATAACACATTCCTACCAAGAAAAGAAAGAGACCTTAGTGAAAAGGGTAATAGTATATATAATTATAGCCTATATCATTCAATAAAATTTAATTTGTCATTTCATTTTTATGTGTCATTTCATTTTTATATTTGTCATTTCATTTTTATTTGTCATTTCATTTTTATTTGTCATTTCATTTTTATTTGCCATTTCATTTTTATATTTGTCATTTCATTTTTATTTTTTTAATTATTACAGGTCAAATGGCTAGTAATCAAGAAAACTCAAAAGATGCAAATGCTCCTGAAAATGCTCCTGAAAATACTCCAGAAAAGACTTCAGAAAAGACTTCAGAAAAAGATATTACACGAGGTATAACTATTATGAGGGAAATCATCCATGATAGAGATAGAGGAGTAACATATAATGTAGATTGGAATGATAATGACCAACTAATTGGGTCTAATGCTGCAAAGTTGACAAGCTACATTGGTACGCATGTTCGTATACACATTCCGATCACCACTCCTAGATGGAAAAGAGGAGAGTTGGATGAGGCTAAGGAGAAAGTTTGGACTGAGATAAAGGTACATATATGGTTTTTGTTATTTGCTTTATCTTGACGATAATATGTGTTTAAATTTCTTTTACTAACACACTTTATGCGTATGTTTTTTTGTAGAGGTCTTTTAACATTGAATATACCCGTAAAAAGTATATAATGGGTTTGGCTGGAAAAAGACATAGAGGGTGGAGAATATTTTTAACAAACAAGTATCTTAAAGATAATGAAGGAAATTTTCTTGAAGAGGATCCGGAAAGTCCAAAGAAATATGAGAACTTCATTACACCTGAAGAATGGGTTGGTTTTGTAGGCCAAAGAAGAGACGAGAATTTCAAGAAAGTGAGTGCTATAAATCACGAGAGAGCGTCAAAACCCGCATATCCATACAAAAAAGGGCATTTGGGATATGCTCGCTTAGAGGAAAAAATTGTAAGTAAATATAAACTCTACGATCTTATTAATTCTATCAATGTGTTATAATTGATGATCTTAAGACTTGTGTCAATAAGTAGTTAGAAGAGACAAAAAGTGACGCAACATCACTACCGGCACATTTGTTGTGGAAGGAAGCCCGTGTGGGCAAGGATCAAGCTGTTAATCCCGATATTCAACATGTGTATGATGAATGTGTAAGTATAAGATTGTGTCTTTAGTTAAATCAATTAATGTTTATTAATATTTAAATAATTTTTTATCTCCACTAATAATTTTTGATATGTAAATGAATTACAGGAGACCTTGTCGCAATCGGT